ATTCATGTAGTTTCCAGTCATCCTTGAATATGCAAATTTCTGTTTAAAATGGGCTGATTGGCATGTAGATATGTAGATTTGTTGTTGTTAGGTGCCATCTTAGACAGAAAAGCCATCTAGTCAGGATATCTTAATTTTATTGTTCCTAGGTAAATATCATTTTTAATTACTTTTATCATTCCTAGGTAACTATTGCAGTCCTGCTGTGGTGCTGTAGGATAAGCACTGGATTGAAAGGTTGGTTTGAACCACAGGGAGCAGTTCAAACTCACCAGCTGCTCCTTAGAAACCCTACACAGGGTTGTTATGAGTGGGAACTAACTCAACAGCACTTCACAACAACAGGTAACTATTAGGGAGAATCAGTAATGTCTTATTTTTCAGATATTATTAATTTAAAACATTAAAATATGATAATGAAATTGAATTATGCATTATAATGTTAAGTATGAAGTCAATAGACTAGTTACATTTAACATTATACTTGATTTCTTGTGATATCAAAGACTGCAATGCTATTTATTATAGGGCAGAATGAAAATCAATTCCTTAAAAGCAATACCAATATGACGATATCTACTACAAATTTTACTCAGTTTATGTCTATGGTGAACATCTGGTATGTTTTATTTTTTGTGATTTTTATAGCAAGTGCATTACCAAAAACACAAGTAATCTATATGCCAGAGCAAAATTACCATAGGAATTTTTACTTTATACAAACCAGGAAGCATGCACTTTAATGTTTAATTTACTTTTCCCCAAGAGATATGATGGGAGATGGAAAATACCCATTTGCTAAAGCAGAAACTTCTATAAACAATAATGAAAATACCATCTTTATTTTATGATGTTTGTTTTATATGTTTCAGAATTTTTAAGAGATCTATCATGCTTAAAATTGTTTACAACAATTACAAGATTTACAAACAGGTGGTTTCTGATGACATGACATACTTTAATTAAGGAACAATTTGTTGTTGTTGTGAAGTGCCGTTGAGTTGGTTGTGATGTCTAGTGATGGTGTATAGTTTCTGAGTAGCAGCTGGTGGGTTTAAACCACAAACCAGGCAGTTAGCAATCCAGTGTATATCCTACAATGCCACATCAGGACACCAAGGAACAATATAGCACAAAATATTTCAACTTCTTTTCAGGTTATTTGTGTGGTTGTATCTCATACATATAAATTGAGTAAATAGTATTATTATGTAAGATAATATTAGAAGATAAGCTATTTTGATAATTGATTATTTAAAGAGAAAAAGGTTATCAAGGGGTTTGCAAAAAGAATGGCAGAAATGTTGCATGATTTGATTCTGGATGTATACTTGTTTATAGTTTAACAACTCTGATATCAGAACGTATTTCACAATTGCTCTTGATCTGAGGTGAAGTTGAGTTCTATCAGAATAATTATTTTCTTTCTTCTGCCAGTTACATGGAAACATACCAATCTGGTAACTCTTTCAAGTCTCTGCTTGAGATTTACAGTCTCACCTGGTTTGGTAGGGAAACTTGAGTGCTATTGTGTTGCTCAAGCAGTACTTTTACTCTTTCCTTCCCCTATTCTTCACAATTAAAATGGGCATATTTCCTGTCTTTCTTCTATTACATGGGAATTTATTTCTCTTTTACACTAATACTGAATTATTTTGTATCCCAACTTGATGCTGGGATTTTCTATTAGACTGCTCGTCATGGGGACTTTTTCTTAGTGGTACATAAAATATCCATGCATCTTATACTCAGTGGCATGTTAGATTTGATGAAATATGGTAATTTATTAAGTTAGGGATTCTGGAGGATGACATCATACTCATCTATCAAATCCTGAGCTCTCTCTCTGGGGACTCAGTGCTCAGATTCGTGGTTGAATTTTCTTTATGAATATACGCAGCCAAGGCAAGACTAAATTAGCATTGCTACATTGTTACAGAATCCTAAATTTACAGCTTTACAGATGATAAAGATGGTACTATCAAAGATGTTTTATGAACTTTTAGAAGAGTTTTGATGCTAACCAAGACATAATTGAGGAGGCTTTGACATGAAGAGAGTTAAGAAGATTGAATCCTGTGGCTATTTTACTCTGGAATGCTAGGAAGAAAATGTGTATATGCAGACCAGTTGAGAGAAGCATTTGGAAGCAAAATTCAATTATGCCATTAAACTAAAAGATAGGACATAAAATATTTTAAAGATTTAAAAATCTAACATGCTGTTAATGCTACCAAAACAAATGATCAACTCATGGTATAACTTTTTCCTTCCTAGATCACAGCATGGTTCATTCTTGTCTACTAAAGGAGGGGGATTCGGAAGTAGTTTAAATGTAAATTGACTTGGCCCTTCATTTTCTTGAATTCAAAGTTGGACATGCTCCAGTATTGTACACAGCAGTTGTTTTAGGGAGGAGAATAAATTGCAAACAACCTGAGATTTCACTTCAACATTCTATAAAAGGTGTGAGTGGAAAGACAAGAAAACTTGCCAACACATACGCATTCAGGGTTATACTAAAAGTAACTAGGTGAACAGCCACCAATGATGGAGGAAAAAGTATGCTGAGATCAAGGGGAAGCAGAGCTGGATTTTTCTGTTTCACCTAGGACAGATCAACACTAGTGCAGTCTTTACACAAGAGGGGTCAGAGTGCGAAGTGAGTGTTAAAGGTTTCATCTAACACGAAATTTCTTCCACCTTAATTTTGAGCTATTATATATAGTCTCTCTATTAAAATCTCAGGATATTTAAAGTATAGAGTGTTACAGAATATGTTTACCATTACAGCTGGAACTGATCATCCAGAAGTGTATAATTTGGCTTCATGTTGCTTAGCAGCTTTCTATGCAAACATCTCATATCTTTATATGTTTTCATATGAGCACATATATTTTATTCAATGTGAGAAGTGACATTAGCAAGACAGCACACATGATTTAACAGGGTAGGGATTTGGATTATTGCCCATGTTTCTTTCAAATGCTGACATCACATATTCCAAGGTAATTCACTGATGCCTAATGGTAAAACTCAGCCTGACCAAATGGGAATACCTGACTCAGTTTCCAAACATTTGGAATTCACTGCAATCTATGCTGTCTGTACTTCATGTTTGGTAAACTGGCAATACAATCAAGCAATGAATAAAGAGAACTTCAGAACAGGAATATTTTGTTATTGCAGAACTCCTTGGATTATTTCACTTCCATATATCACAAACATCTGCTTAGAATTGTCTACCCATGAAAAAGACCTGGTCCCACTGAAACACAATGATTCCTTTTCTACTTCTAGTACCCATTTTGATAGAAGGGTAAGGAGAATGTGTATTTATGTTCATTTTACTTTCTAAAGTCAAGTAACATTGTAGGCCAAAATTTCACAGGTTTTACCTACTCAATTTGCCCCTTTGTAATTTCATCAAAACATGTCTTTAAAATGAAAAGCTCTTTCCAAAGCCCATTCATTCAACCATCAGCAGTATGTATTTTTGCTACACTCATTTAAAAAAAAAAAAAATCATTATGTCTGGTTCTCCTGTATATACGTGCACCCATAACTCCAACAAATATATTATTTTGAGATATTAAGTGTATCACTGATGAAACTTGGCTGTTAAATGAATACATTTGATAGTAACAGAGGAGTCTGGATTTGAGAAGGGTGACTAGGCTTGTGATGCATGCTGGGAGTTTGTGCAGTGTTGTTGTGTACATTAATGGAAATATTAATACTCTTAAATTACACACAGAGTTATGAGATAGAAGCAAGGTTAACTGATAAAAAATATTAGGCCTGCTTGTAAAATTAATGTGAAAGACACTGAAAAAAGTTAATAATGACATTCAATTACAATGTTCACAGTTTACATTTTACCCATGCTAACTATGAATTAGAAGCTCAGTGACTCTGTAGGATAAACTGGACTATGAATCAAAAGATAAGCAGTTCAAGCTCAACAGGCACTCTGTGGGAGAAAGATGAGGCTTTTTGCTTCCACAAGATTTACAGCCTCAGAAGCCCTATGTTGTTGTTGTCGTTAGGTGCCATTCGAGTCAGTTCCAACCCATAGTGACCCTGTTTGCAGTCCCAAGAAGTGTCTAGTCAGCTTGAACTGCTGGCCTTGTGATTCAAACCGACTTTGCTGTTCAGCACATTAATCCACAGCATCACACCATGACTCCTAGAAGCCCTATACAAGGGCACTATGAGTTTGTATCAACTGGATGGCACTTAAGAAGACATCTGAATTGCTCATTAACAATGATGTCATTGATGAGTTTCCCCAGTAGAGGGAAGCATAGCTTCATTATTATTTTCATAAATGATTAAAGTGGGGGCAGTGGGGGAGCCCAACATTTTATTGCAATTTAAATCAAGATTGGTTGATATTTCATCATTAAATAAGCTTTCTTGACAGTAAAAAGGCCTTGACTTCTGTTAGGAAGCATAAAGTGAACTTGGTCCAAAATGCTTAGTTCAACAGAATGACCTACTAGTAAGTGTATGAAGACATTTTAATTATCTTCTATTTAATAACTATATCCAACAACAATTTGTGGGTATACATCATCATATGCATAATGAATAATTAGTATATTTTATTTTAAAGCTACACTTTATTATTTGATACAATTTCTATGAACATATGTGTTGTCTACTCTCTTCAGTTGGCAAATAAATACATATGAAAGCATATACCTCACTTCTATTTTTATTAATATGAAGCTGTTAAACTTGAACTCATGTGAGACCCTAAACTTTTGAATTTATCATACTTGTGATAATAAAATTTAATTCACTTCTTTGTGTTCTTTAGAATTATTATTATTATTATTATTATTTTTACTAGATTCTCTGTCTCTTCAGCTAGGTTGCTGAAGTAAGAACTCTGACAAGGGGGTGTACATCTGCATGCATGTGTGTGGCTATGCATCATTGCTTGTGATTTTTTCCCAGTGCTGGCAGATTGGAATATGAAAAATGTGACTTACCATGGTGTTGTAAGTCTGAACACTGTGTCAGTGGGTCGCCATTTCTTATATCTTGTCGTCTTGTGCGTCTAAAACAATTACAGTCAGAAGATATTATTTTATCTCTATTCCTTTTTGGGGATTTGTCATAAAAATGAAGACAAATAAAAAATCTATAGCAAAGAATCCCAGAGTTTATTAGGAAGAAATACATCTAATTCTGGCTAAAACACTTTAAAAAAATAAAGAAAAGAAAAAACAAAAGCAGTTTCCTATACCTGTAAGTTATATTTTTATACCCATTACCTCTATAAATCTCTGGGATTTGCATAGGTAACTGGTATAAAAATATACTGAGAATATGATAAAAGTCAAAATATTACTGATAGAATTTATGTATTTTTGTAAATAATTGTCAATGAATCTAACATCTAGAAATGGTAGGCTTAATTTCTGAGGAAAAAACAAAATTTGGAATAGCAACCCATTTCTTCAATAAACAGTTAAACTTTCTTTTTCCTATCATTAATGAGGGGATAAGCTTGAAATTGTAAATTTACATGATGGTTCTTTTTAAAATTATATAAATAATTAATTAGTGTTTTGTTAAATTAAATCTTTTAAATCTTTTTTTTGGGGGGTTATAACAGCAATCTTTTTGTAAAAATCATAACACAGCAAAACAAAAACTATGTTTTATACGTTCCTTATTGCATCATAAGGCTATCAACTGAAATGAATTTACCTGAGTGAGATGTGAATAAAAGAAGAGAAAAAAACAACAACAACAAATGATGGGTTTAGGGGCAAGACTTCAGTTTAGCAGAGATAAGAGAGCAACTATATAATAGCATTCAGAAAAACCAAATATGCTTGCAATAAAAAAAATAAATAAATAAAACATTATTCCTAATTTCTACTGCTCAAATAATATTTTAGCCGTGGTACATTCTGAGCATTTCTCCACTTTGTTTATGGTTGACTGCGAGAAAAGACCTGGACTCTAGCTACTGTGGTGTTACAGAGATGTGTAGTTTGAGCAAGAGGCTAAAAATGGAGCTTGGCTGTGTGTAACAGACTGGAAAAGATTGGGGAACACTTGCTCAACTGTTTACTGCATCTATTTTAATGAATATTGTCTTGCTGCAAAATTAGTTATCTTTCCTAAAAAGAGCTGCTACAAAGGCCATTGAGAATTGCAAATATGGATTTTGTTACTGTATTCACAAATATAGAATCCCAAAGTATTTATAGATTTCTATTTGTAGAATTAGTAAGACTATCAAACAGATGTTGCACATTTCAAAATTGAACCAACAAAAGAGTTTGTGAAACACGAACCACAAAGCATTTGGGAAAGCATTTTTCATTGTCATTTACGCTTTTGGAAAATGCTATCAAAAAGAACATATAAAATGTGAGGCTTTTAAACATTCTTTTCAATGAAGTTGAAACAGATGAAACTGGATTAAGGAAAATCTGTAAAGCACAACAAAATTGTGCTTTACAGATAATTCCCTCAATCTTGAATTGTAGGTATGCAATAAACACATTTCAAATATGCAATGACATACAGCTTTTAATTTATCATAATACGGCTATAATCTCTTTTTTTAATTAAGAAAAGCTTAACTTCAAATTAATTACTACCAAATTAGGCAATATGATACACTTTCACGTGGAAAGAAAATAATGTTCATCTTTTAATTCAAACAATGCATTTCATATTGTTTGACTAGCATAGAGCTAAATGCTTTTAAGAAACATAGATTTTTAATTTTAAAGTATTTAATTTTATTGCTTATATTGCTATTTATTAATTTGTTTATGGTTTCTTTTATCAATAAGACATCTTCTTTATCAATAAGAAATTTAAATATAAAATTTCAATGTCATTCTTGAGAGTTGTTGTTGTTGGTTACTGCCATTGAGTATGTTCCTAGTCATAATGACCCTGCTTAGGGTTTATGAAGAGCAGTTGGTAGGTTTGAACAGCCAGTCTTGTGGTTAGCAGCCCAGAGTTTATCCTATAGCACCACACCACATCTATGGATATTATTAAGTCCTGAATTTTGAAGATATAAAAACGAGTATTTCTTATATGATATGAATTTGTGCTACATTTACATAAAAAAATTATTAACAAGCTCCATATGTACTGATATTACAAATTTAAGGTTTATATGATTTCACAAGGAGCTCTGGTAGCGTAGTGGTTACGAATCGGGCTGCGAACCTTAAGGCTAGCGGTTCGAAACTACCAGCCGCTCCGCGGGAGAAAGATGAGGCTTTCTACTCCCGTAAAGATTTACACCCTCGGAAACCCTGTACAGGGTCG